ACACAATGCTTGTTTGGTTTATATAAGTACTTAAGCTTAGAATGTGCTCGCTGCAAGTAATACACGTTGAAATGAACTACATGTACACGTAATTCAAAATAAAAATATAACATTGAAAACAAATATAAGATCTTTTTTATTTATTTCCTTACTAAAAGCTTGTTTAAACTTATTTGATATATTAATAATAATATTATCCAGACCGATTTCGGTCACGGCGGCTAGTCTCAACGTAGACTAGTCATCTGTGCAGGACAGGATTTTAGTGCCCAAGTATATACGTAAGCACAGGTGCACTCTCTATTCTCTACAATAGTCCGATGGAACGGTAATTCGACACGACTGGAGAGAGATCAGGCGCAGGATTATCATACTTTCCGTGGCACGGGGGTGAAACACCATCAACTTCCTAAATCTGGACTGCTACTACTGATAATCTCTTGACAGGAAAACTAAAAAAATATTTTGGCCTGACCACATCCTAATTTCAATAGAGAAGGAGGCTGGGTACTACCACCTGCTTGGGATCCTATAATCAATAAAATTAAAACTAAACCCAAGCATACCACTGCAAGACCTCAGGACATAGTCAGTTCATTTTGCATAGATCGGACCATAAACAATAATTAAAAAAGCTGAAGGTACTCCGGGTTTAACAATGACATCGGGACGTCAGTCATCTCAGTCCCCCATGACCATGGGTGCTGGAAAGCGCCCGAAACGTCGTTAATTAAAAATAAAAAGTAAAAATAAACGCGATAAAATCCGTCAAAGTAGTTTTAATCATGTGCAATGTTCGCGTAAATATAAGAAATCATTACCTCTTCCATTTACGTTCACGTATTAGTGTGTGTATCCATCATCTATCCTGTTCCCTCCCTAAACGACCTGCCTATCGCTGTTTCTTTCTCATGCTGTGCTCGACGGCTAGAGTCGGGTCGCATAGAGGCCCGCTTACTTGAATATTTCTGCCTGCGTAGAAGACCCACGCAGTTTTGCTGCTACTTGGTTTGTGTTAGAAATAAGGGCCCTGCAGTCCTAGTCTAATAATCATTTTTGTAGGCTTTTCCGCCGATTGCTTTCGCTTCAGGATAGAAGGCTTTAACCAGCTTCACTGATGGGATGGTGACGTATTCAGGATCTTGTGTTCCATTTTCCTGCCGAAGAGTTCTTCCTTGGATCAATTGATGACTTTCCAGTCTCTTCAACCCATGGGAAGACTCTCTGAATGAATGATGGATTTAACTTTAGCTAAAATATCCTCCTCTTCTTCATCATAATTTCACGTGAACAGTTCACCTAGTGTAACGCCAGCTGTTGATTGAAAAGGAAAAGCGCCCTTAAATAATTGGCGGTCATCTGATAATACACTAAGTAATACCAAAGATAAATGTTTTTTTTTTAGTGAGAGGAGGAAATCTTCAAAAGAAACAGCGGTCAGTGTTTGTTAGATCGATAGTGTGGGATTTTACCCACTAAAACCTTCTCTCTCTTAAGTACCCAGGACCACGGGACCGCGTTAGAATTACTTCATGTTTAAGGTAAAAAAAAAACAGAAAGAAAACACAGGAAAAAAAACAGATATCAAGGGTGCTGTAAAAGAAATAACAGCAGGTGAAATGAGTATCCAAAAAAAAACATACCCCGTCATCGCTGTCCAGTTGTCATTTGTTGCCAACATCCAAGAGACGATCTCTTCCGGTCCCTGAGCACCCTCTTCTCGCTCTGCCAGCGTAGCCGTGTTTCAAACCAGCGCTGACAGACAAAGAAGGTGTGCTCGGTAGAGTCAACGCCCGCACAGTACACGCAGTCAGGAACGTTTTGGTATTTCATACGGTGTAAGTAGGCATTGAACTGTCCGTGTCCAGTAAGAGGTTGTGTAAGGTAAAAATCTTACTGTCCATGTTCCCGTAAGGCCCAGTCACGGACTTGTCCAATAAGCCTATGAGTCCAACGCCCGGTTACTCTAGATTCCCACGCGCCCTTGCCAGAGCACAAAAGTTTCCTCGCGTTCTCGAGTCCTTACGTCCATCAACGTTTCCTCGCCATCCCGCCGACCATCCCAGATAAGCTTCCTCTCGAATCCCAAAAGGTCGATTGGGATTGTACCTGAGATGACCAACACTGCTGCTTCCGATACCGTTCGATAGGCACAGGCTGTCCTCAGTGCACCTAGCCAGTAGTACCTCAGTTGGTAGGTCAAGACGTAGAAGTGCATCGTAAAGGATGATCCAAAGCTCTGGTACTAAGACCGAGCCCTATTCTGCTCCCCCACTCAGCTCCTTCATGATCTCTCCCATAGTTGTTTCAAATATCAAAAAACGATCACATAGGTAATCACTTATGATACGGATGAGATACTCAGAAACACCTAATTTTCGAAGCGCCTTCACAATGTCCGTCCATTTTGCGGAATCAAATGCATTTTTGACGTCAAACGTCGTCCTCCTGTTGCCCGACCAGACAGCCCAAGCAAATGAAAGCGCTTCGGAAATGGCACCAATTGTACCGCGACGAAAAACTCTAGAGATCATCAACCCTCCTTCGGAAATCAGCTATTGGCTCGTTTGGGATGAAGTAACACGACACAAAGGAAACTGCTGGCGTTGTAACTCATACAATTCCGTCTCTCGATCCACTGTCTTTCACAGGAAAGCGACCCCGGTCCGGGATCCAAATACCTGCTGTTTCGGAAGGGTCACACAACCAGTTTGATCGGGACACTGAGTGATATTGCTCCGAAACCAGAACAATATCCACTCTGTGGTCGAGGTTTCGTGCAAGCAGTAGATCAAGAGCCAGTCTGCATCGCTGAGGGTTTGCTTGTAGCACCTTAACTTAACTTTTCTTTTGGATTATCTCCCGAAAGGACTCACAACGTCCAGAACCTATCACGTGATCTGAGGTGATATTCTACCGCTGCATAGAGATAGCAGCACGGAGGTTTGGTACAGGCCTTTGACTGATGACCCGCCTCCACACATCGCCAGCAGCAACCGCTGCGGTCCTCGTTTGCCCTGTACAAGCTAGCAAAGTGGCCCAATCTATGGCATGGGTAGCACCAGTCTACTGGCTCCCAATAGCGGACTCGGCAGTTCAACCAGCCAACCTCGACCCTTCCCAATGTCTCCAAAGCCGCAGCGGCTTCGAGTCTGATATGGTGCAGACGGCTCCCCATTTATTGTGTTGCGTGATTGTCACTTTGAGTCTGTCTACGCCTTCACCAATGCCCCTTCTCAGGTCCTCCTTGACCTCTTCAATAGTCGTGGCGGCGTCCAGCCCGTCTATAACCACCGTAGTGGTAGGGACGAGATGGCGTACCTCCACGTTACCGTGGTTACGTTACTATATATATATATATATATATATATATTTTTTTTTATATATATATATATATATATATATTTTTTCTAGGTGTTAGTAATTTGGAATCCTGATCTTAGCCATACTGTGTATAGAAAAAAGACCCATACAGATAGATATTTAAACGGTGATTCTCACCACCATCCTTCACAGTTAGCTACCGTGGGTAAATCTTTGTTTCAGAGAGCACGAGGGATCTGTGACAGTAAACACCTGGCTGCCGAGCTCCACCATGTCCACCACTCTCTAAAAATCGCAAATAAAAGTGATAGAGAAAGACCGGACAGACGAAAAAATTCAAAAATTACCTTGTTTTATAAAATACTGCGCAGCACACGCCCTACTTTTCGGAGCGACTGGCTGAAACTTGGAGTCGGGGCAGAATAAAATGGAGTCTTGTACTATATTGCTAGCTTTCAAAAATATAGCATAATTCACCGGAAATTTGAATTTTACGGTCTTACCCCTTATATTATTCCTTTTAACTTCTTCGAAAGTTACTCAACGTTTTCGCACCGCTATCTTGCGTAAATAAAAGAGTAGTACTGGACACATATAACTAATAAAAAGCAATAGCATAAAAAGCGTCAATCGTAGTAACGATATTTAAAGAAAAAAGTTACAAGTTTGCAAGAAATACTAGGTTAGCTGATAGAGACATCTTTGATAAAATAAGAAACCAAACAAGTCCTGTAAAAGATACGAGTAGGAACTGAAGAAAGCGAACGTTTAAAGAGACAATTCCTTAAAAGCAAGACTGGAAAACTGCCCAGAACTAAATATTCCACAGAGTTAAGATGTTTGGCACTAACACTTAATTATTAACGAAAATCGTGCGTATAATAAGGTGGGTGTACCATGGAAGACCACTCTAACCAGTAAACAGTTATAATTTATTTATTTACTGGACAAATGAAACTAACAAATATTTAAGTAATAAGTTTTATTACATAACATATAAACCAATTTTTTGAATTGCAGATTTAATCAATATTGATTGAACTTAAGTTTCTTTGAACTCTTCCAAATGGCCTTGTTAGGAACAAGGCTTCTTATGGCGGCTTCTCACTGCGTGTGTTATCACGCGCCGCGCCGCCCGTGTTGATTTGTACGCGCAAGCACGCGTCACGCGCGAGCCCGCGCCGCGTTCTTGCCCAAACTCCAAGCCACTGACTCAGTCTGTTTAGCGCAGCGCACCTGATGTCGTGTGAGTCGAATTGCCACCTCCAGCCATGGAGCAATGCCACTGAAGAAGAAGGCATCGCTGTTGCTTCAGCCGCTTTTATCTTATTTTGTGGATATCATTTACTGAGCACATATTCAAATATGTCTAAGTCGAAATCTACGCGATCGCTTTGGAATGGCGTAATATTGACGCACACTACAATGTTATCTCTGTGTGCGTGTCAGTGCGAGCGTGAGGCTATAATAGTTGCCTAACGACGCCTACGAATCACTTTGATCTTTGATTATATACCTGTCTTTGATACTATTGGAACTAAAATAATAAAAAAATAATTTCCATATAATGGCTTATATAGTGTATAGAAATCGGAGGCTAATATGTGAAAATTGTTTTATTCTTTTAGTAAATTGAAGTCGGCTTTACATTTTCACCCTATTGAGTATATTATAAT